ACACAGTCTGTATCAAGCAGATATATGGGTTCTGTCTCATTCTTTCTAGTCCTGTGAGAATACATCAAGGGACAAAACCTCAGGTAATAAAATTGTCATTTTAAGCTTAAATGGGAAATGGAAGATCCTGTGATTGGAGCGCAGTATTTGGAGTGGTAGACATTTGTGATTGTTCGTGATTGTGCCAAAATGCTGTTCAGCCAACTTTTGTGTTTCCAGGGTAATCAAGAGATTGTTATAAATATAAGGCAAGGATATAGACAATATGTAAATGAGGCTGTAAAGATGTTCTGTGAAAATGATCAGGGAAAGCCACAATTTGAGAAGGAGACTGCAGCATGAGTGTTGTGCCCTGTGTGGGACAATGGTACTGGGGATGTCTGTGTTTTGCTTTACTCCCAACACATTACAGCTCATGACTTTGGGTGCTACCAGGGCCAATATCTGGTCCACCAAACTCATGCTTTTCTGTGGAATTAACATTTTCTAGTTTTGTCATAAAGCTTTCAAACAGTAGTTCTTGCAACCCTCCTTCATCATGTCCTCTGGTCTCTTCTGTACCTGAGGATGAGGTCAGTGTGCCCTGTGGGGATGATCCTTTTTTTTTTTCACATGCTCTTCCCTGCTAGCAGTCAAAACAGAAGCAAAAGGAAAAAAGGAGAAGAGTTGAGAAAAACAGGGGTTAATGCTGTGAATGGGTGCAAACAGGATTTTGTTAAAAATGAAAAGAGGTTGGATGGAGGTAGATAAAAAGAAATCTGAAGTAATTGTTCTGTAGAATATGGCCTTTCCACATAGGCAGAAATCTTTCTCTTCATTCCATCAGAAGATAGTCAAATAGAGAATCTCGTCTCTTAATTAGAAAGAAAAATACTCATCAAACACATCTCATCACTGGAAAGCTAATGATCCACAGCTGCTAGTCTGAAAGGGCAGGCTTTTTTTCTGAACAGTAGGAAGTGTTAATAATTTTGGATAATATTTCTTTTTAAAATATAGTGTAGTTTGCAAAAGAATAGGATATTCAATATCCTATCTAAAATTAATTTTTGAAGTGTTGTACTTTAGGGATAGTGTCATGTGTCTCTCTGAATGATGATTTAATGCATGTGTCTCTCACTAAGAGTATAAACTGAAAATGACCAGTTCATGCCCTGTGACTCTGAAAACTTTGATCTCATGGGAGAGATGAAAAAAGCCCTTCCTTACATTCTTCTGTATATGAAATGGCAGTTGTATTAAACTGCAACCTTTGAGACTCACATTCATCTCTTAAAATAGTTAGCTTGTTTTAGTAGTGATAAGCATCCTTTTTTTACACACACAGCCATTATTTTCTTGGAAGGTACCATGTTAGATACAGTCCACTAGGTGTTTTACAGACATGGGCAACTCTCAGAAGTGTTCTTTTATACTTATTCATTAGCTTTTCTGGTTTGGTTTGGGTTTGGGACTTTTTGGCCTATACTTGCTTAATGGAATGTTGGTTTATTTCTCTACCTTTCATGAAGCTTTGTACATATCAGTTCCTTCTCTTTCACCTCCACTATCAGGCCTTTCATCCATAAGAACTGAGTCCTGGAGATTTCCTGCTGTTCTGCACCAGATTTTGGATTTGCTTGTGTTTACTTAAAAGTTTTGTCTGATACTGGAAATCTGCTTGTTTTCTCTCATACACATTTCATGAGTGCATTTCTTGTCTGGGAAGAATAATGAGGCCATTTAGGTCAGAGGGCCACAACTGTGCTGGTCTCATGCAGCACACATTTCATTTGTGTTGCAATGTTTGTGTAGTACCTGGCTGAGACAGTTGCCTGAAAGGAGGAACTGGTTAAAATTCAGCCAGACTAGATGGAAATTAAGGTGGCAGGTCAGCAAAATCATCTTCAGGCGATGACAGAAGTAATATCCACACTTTTGAATGGCATGTCCGTACAATTTGTAAAAAAGGTATTATCTTAATATGTTTTAATGGCTGTACTGCAAGGAATTAATGACCTTGAAGGTCATTTGGCCTTTAGAAACTTCAAGTGAGAAGTTTTTGCATTGGAATTCATCAAGATTCTGGAGTACAGAGTACATGATGGCCATGTTCCTCAGACTCCAGTCAGGTCCACGTCTCCTGAGACTGGGTGTAGATTGTTGGCTTTTTTCCTCTGGACCCAGGGAGTGTTTAAATAGGGCTTCATTTCTTAACCACTTTTTAACCAAAGTTCAGCTGGGGTCCTGATAAAGACTGTATGTGTTGCCTTTCTCAACAGGTAATCTCTAATATTTACTTTTCTGACACTTCATGCTTTTTGCTGGCTTCCAGAGCACCCTTCAGTGTGCATCCATTGACTCAGGGTATTTCTGGTGTTAAAGCATGCAAGGATATTTTGCTTTTCTTTTGAGACATAAAATTTGTTGTAAGTTGGTTACATCTAATTTACCACTTTGTTATAGAAAGGAGGGTCACAGAACAGTTCTTGAATAAGATGAGATATTGCTTGCTTCTGTTGTGGTTTTAAGCCTAGCTGGAGATGAAACACCACACAGCCACTTGCTCAAACCCCTCCTCTCCTCCCCCACATCCTGGTGGAATGAGGAGGAGAATTGAAGTAAAGTTTCTATGTTGAGATAAGAACAGTTTAGTAATTGAAAGTAAAGTGAAATGCCATAATAAAAGGAAATAAAAATAATAATGGTAATAAAAAAGAAAAAAACCTACCCAAACAAAACAATGCAATGTAATTTCTCACCACCTACTGACCCTTGCCAGACCCCTCTTCCTGAAAGCACATCATCCACCCTTCTGGGTAATTCCCCCCTATTTATATCCTGAGCACAATGCTCTGTGATATGGAAATACCCCTTTGGTCTGTTCCAGTCATCTGTGCCAGCTGTGCTCCCTCCCAGTTTATTTTTAATACCTTCCACTGGCAGAGCATGAGGCAATTTGAAAAAAGGTCCTTGACTTTGGATAAACACAACTTAGCAAAAAAACCAAAACATCAGTGTGTTATCAGCACCATTCTCATTCTGGATCCGAAACAGCTACTAGGGCAGAAATTAACTCTATCTTAGCTGAAACCAACACAGCTTCTTATGCATTACCATGTCTAACATATTTTCTTTTAAACTAAACAACCTTAAAAAAACATTTTTTCTTTCAAATTAAAAACATCTAGAAGAGCCAATATCCTTGGTTTTGTCTCACAAACACTGCTTTTTCATTTCTTTCAGTAATTATCATTTTTGCCTTGCAGTTTCATAGGCTTGCATATACATAGTTAAAAGGGGTAGAAAGTATGGGGGTAAGGTAAGTTACCTGATCTTGAGAAAGATTATCTGAGATATAGACCTATTTTTTTGCTTTCTTCATGGGTGCTTGTATTTGATAAGAGCATTTTGTTCTAACTCCAAACAAAAATTTAGCAGAAGACTCCAAACAAAAATCCAGCAGAAGACTAATAAAATATGAATTTTATTCTTGCTGATCTTTATATACCTCTTGATGGCTAATTTGGAAAAATGAGCTCTGTTTTGGTTTACCTAGGTACTGGCATTGCCTTAGGTTTGCGAGTTCTGTAGCACAACACCTTCAATCCTTTTAGATGGTATTAAAAGTACAAATATTCAAAAGCTTTAGTATTTGGATGAAAAGGCTTACCAAGATTTCTGGATGTTTATTCAGCTGTAGTACATAGCGTGATTTGCTTTCACTTTTTTTGTTGTTTTGGTTTTTGTTTTTTGTCGTGTTTGTGGCTACAGCTGGCTTAAATAAAAAGGGGGTTCATTGATAGGGAAAATTGGAGGTAAAAATGGTTTTAGTTTGGCCCTGTCTTAATCCACTTATCTTTAGTTCTTTCCTGTAAACCATTAATTTTGTAGCAGCATGGATAGGGAACAATATCTAGACAGTGGTGCATGGAGCTGGCAGTGAGATGGGTTTCTCCAGTGGTGGGATGACCAAGTTGATCCCATGCTGAAGACCAGCCCCAGTTATTTAGGCACACATCTCTAGGAGATGTAACCCAGCCAGGCTTCTGGCAGCCGCTGGTCACAGAGCACTTGAGCTGTTTTGAACTAACACTGCAATAAATCAAAGTTTTCAAAGTGGTGGACTTAGGTGGCTTCTCAGCATTCTTTTTAAACCCATTTTTGATGAATCTGTGGTCAGTTCTATTTTACTATACTTTCATTAAAATAATAATATGATTTTAGCTTTTACTGTGATTTCTTGGTAGTTTTCCATGCAAAAGACTTCTGATTACTACTTCTGCTTGTTTGTATGACATTACTACAAAGTGACCATGTTCTTTTATTTCTAAATAACAGATTAATCTTTAATCATTCTTGTGCCACCTTTACACTGATATAGGGTTGTTTCAAAGCTATAACCAGCTTCAATAATATGTTGAGGTCTTCTTTAAATTTATCACATCTCTGTGGCCTGCAAGAAAAACTGAAACTGAAAGAGGAGAGGTTTAAATTAGATATTAGGAGGAAATTCTTTATTGTTGAGGATGGTGGCACTGGAACAAGTTGCCCAGAGAAGTTGTGAATGCCCTATCTCTGGAGGTGTTCAAGGCCACGTGGGATGAGGCTCTGAGCAGTCTAGTCTACTGAAAGATGTCCCTGCTTGTGTTGAGAGGGGTGGATCTAGGCGGCCTTTATGGTCCCTTCCAACCCAAGCCATTCTATGATTCATGAAAGCAACTAACCTTTCTTAAAATGCAATCTTATTTTTATGCTCTTTTGCATTATTCACAAAAGCATTATTTTATGAGACAACAATTAATGACTACATTATTTTTTTTTTCCAAGAATTAAGGTAGGAAAGATTGGGAAAGGTAGTAGTTGTATTATGGAGGTAAGTGTGAGTCAGCAAAGTGGTTGAACAACACTCCACAAGGAGAGGTGGATTTCTCTAGAATTGTTTCAATTGATTGGTCTTAACTCTGCACAAGAGTTTAATGCTGATTTCAATCACTGTTTTTTCCTGCTCTGTCTTCTAGCTTTTTCTTTTTGTGGTCTGGAACTTTGAGCTCTACATGATACCACTGGCTTTGTTGCTGCTGCTGGCATGGAACTACTTGTTGATCATATCAGGAAAAGATAACAGGCAACATGATACAGTAAGTAATTTCTACTTCAAGGGCATACATGTTCTTTTCTTTCTTTAACTAGGTAAAATTTTTAAACTGGATTTAAATATGCTATCTTTTTCAAAATGTTTCCCTTCACAATGTTCTATGGACATTTTTCCCTCCTGCAATTTAATTTTATTTGACTGTCCAATAAGTGTATCTGATTTTGTTGAAATGTCATGTAAAAATACAATAGAACATGCACTATCTATAGAATCTGTTTTTGTGTGGGAGCAGAGAGGCTTATTGTTAAGGAAAAGGCAAATTCTTTGAAGTTATTTTATATGCCTAAGTTCTTATGTTGCATTTTTTTATTAAGATGTTGAATTTAAAGATTAAAATTATTCCAGTTGGTTAACAGTTTCACAACGTATCACATTTTACTGTATTTCATAATTCATCATTAGTATTCATTGAGCTTAATATTAGCCTTTTCTTATTTTCTTCTCTCATTTAATGCCATCCTTTAATTAACATGTAGTTGGGATATAATGTAGCAAGCATTTACTAAAAACTGGCTTTCGATTTTCAGAAGTACATATTAAAAGTTGAAGTTGTATTCTATGCTGCACAAATTTTCTAGCATCCAGCAGTTAAAGGATTTTGCATGCCATACTACTGAGCCTTATGAATTTGATATTTGTGCTAGTTTTTATATCCCAAAAACAGGATGTTGTCTACTACTTTATGATCTGAATGGATCACTGAATGGGCAGGAGAAAAAGCTAAAACAGATTAGATAATTGGTCTCTGAGGACAGTGATTAATGGAGGTCAGTAACAAGTGGACTACCACAGTACAAGGTCTTGTTTAACATCTCTTCCAGTGATGTACAGGAGATGATAGTGCACCCCCATCAAGTTTTTGGGTTACATCAGGTGTGTGGGACCATTTGACACTCTGGATCTGCCACTCAAAGGGATCTATCTAAGTGGGTTGGATAAATGAACTGACAAGACCTGCAAGAAATTCAGAAGGAAGAATCCCACTCTTGGGGAGCTATCACCTGTTGCAGTGATACAGAGTGGAAATTGGTTGTCTGAAAGCAGCTGTCTGAACTGGGCCTAGGGGGTCTTAGAAGGCAGTGAGGTGATCAGAAGCACGGGTAGTGGATTGAGGGAAGTAGTTATCTCCACTCCTCAGCACTTGCCAGAATGCATCTACAATAGTGTCCAGTTTGGGGCATGCCAGTTCAAGAAAGTTGTTGGTTGACTTCAGCAAGTTCAGTGAAGGGCTACCAACATGATCAGGGGCTTAAGCCCTCATCAACCAGGCCTTGAAGAGGAAAGTGGACTTGAAAGATCCTGGCGAATAAAAGGCTTTTAGTGACTGGAATGCCCTATCAGGAGGTTAACAAGAAGATGTACAAGTGCTCTGTGGTGGAAGAGGCAACAAGCTTCATTTGAAACAAAAGAGGTTCAGACTAAAAAACCTTTTTTGCCATAAGTATTGTTAAGAATAGAAGAGGTTGCTTAGGAAACTGCAGTTGCTATAGGAAGTTTCCAGGACCTGACTGTGTAAAGCTCTAAGGAACCTGATCTGACCTCATGGCTGACCCTGCTTTGAGCAGAAGTTTGGAAGTCCCTTCCAGCCTGAATGATTCCCTAATGTATTGCAACTGCATTATTAGAACCCATACAGCCCTGATCCCAACACTGTTGTTACCTGTCTATATCACTAAGACTGTTATGCTTCCAAGGATCATCTAAAAATAAGGGTGGGAATGATAAAGGTATTCCCTAATCCCAAATGTGATTACATTTACGGGAAAAGTCTAAGATCAAGATTTAAAAGATGCAATACTTAAAACACAGCCCACTGTCTCCTGATGGCTGAAATGCTTAAAGCTTCTCAACCTGAAGATTTTATGAGTACCTGAAATCCCTGGTGAAAGGAGACATTTCATTTGTGACCATACAAATACATTTAATTTCTCTCTGAAATACCACCTGCCTGGAAAGATTATCTGATCATGTAACTTTTCTAAAAGACTAATGAAGCTAGTGATGGACTCTCAGTTAAGAATACCAAATGCTGCTCCTAAAACTCTCCTCTTGCTGCGAGTGCTTCATACCAAGCTAATATAGCCTATATCAAGCAACCATGTTGATCCCAAATATTTTTCATCTGTGCCATTAATGACCTTGTTTTTATAATGATTTATGTTTGGTTATCATCATGTTGAGCATCTGCCTTGAGTGAAGTCATTTGCAGATTTATTGTAAGCCTTTCTAACTAACTCATGAATCTTCATATCATTAGAATAGGAGTAATTTAGATACCTATGTTTTCCTATGCAGAGTGTAAATTTTATCTAAATTAATGAAGTAGTGTTTCCTAGTGGCTAGAGAATGTTTCAGCATGCACGTGATCTGGCTTCTCTCCCCAAGTCTTCAGAGATTCCTTGTGTGTCTCTGTGAAATCATTGATTACTTATCTTAGATATATCATCTATCTTTAGAAGTTACTTTGAAACCCTAAGGCTAATGATAAGACACAAAGATAAATGTATTTGTTACCTAATTAACATTAGACAAGCATAGTTAAAAATTGCATACGGTTTATGCTTGTTTATTGTCTATGGAACATACTTAAATTTGGGACCATGCAAAGCAGCTCAGAAGAGTTGATTTCCATTACAATATCTCTTTGAGAAAACAATTGTCAATTGTTTCATCAGTTCAGGTGCTAGGGACCACACTTCTGCTGGTCAGTGATTAGTGATCTCTGAGTTTCAGTCTGGATATGGCACACAGACCAGCCTTAACTCATCCTTGTTTGACTGTCTCTCTAGATAAGATACCATTTGCTTTTTCCTCTTGGGCATCAGGGTTTTTTTGAAGTAGTTTGAAACTTATTTCCTCATGGAGAAATTCACCTGCCAAGCAAGAATCTGGGTACCTCTATTATAACATAAACCTGTACTTCTTATTTGAATGCAAGTACAGTTATTTTGCCATTTATTATCTCTCCTAACAAGTTATATATGCGAGTTCTTTCTTGAATTCAAGGTGCAATATGGCTGGGGCAAGGAGGAGGACCAAGTGCATAGTAGGAGATAAGTCTATTGGAATGCCCAACATAGGTGAAGTGGTGTGCTTTATCTCCATGGGTTCCATTGGAGTCCTTGTAGGATTGATGATCATTGTGGTTTTAGTCTAACATTGATGCAAATTTCCAAAAGAAGCATTGGATTCCCTACCTTTTGTACATTTTGATCAAGATTAGTTGTATTTCTGAAAGATATGCTCTCATGAAATAGGAACTCTTGCATTAAACATTGGTGTAAGTGACTGTAGATAGATGTAGACTTAATGGATAGTTCTGAAGTGAACTAAAACAAATGAATTTATGTCACTGAATCATGTGACAGGTGTAAAAATCTGCCAGTATTAAGTGAGAAAAAAATTACTAAGATGCCATTCTTAAGGCCTTCTTCTGAATTTTGCAGTAACATTTTTGCCTGAAGTACATCCTGCTGCTTTCTCCAAAGATACTTACACTGCCTTGTAATTGTACTCCTGAGTATCTGACCTCACAAAATAATTTATTTTTAGCACAGCTGTTTTTATATTAAGCCATGATCACCTAAACACACAAGATTAGAACTGAGTGAATCTTACCAGGCTGAGATTTTTTTCTTCTCCTGCCTTTTTCCCATCATCTTTTTCACATTGTCTGTGGGGTAGGTATCAACTGCTGTGTTTCTGTCACCACTCCCTGCTGCTCCTTGTCACCTGTGCTGGATTTGAGTGGTGGGAAGAAGCATAGAAGTGCTGCCCCTACACATAATAAACCATGGCATGGTGACGGACTGCAAACTAACAGAAAGTATGGTGGGTTTAAAAGCTTATTTTCAGTATTTTTAAGAAGTTATTTAATACTTTGATGATTTCAAATACACCAAAAAAAGTCCCTCACCCTTGTAACTTGAAGAAAACAGCAGCGCTCCTGTCTGGTGTCTGGGATCTTCTTCTATTTCTAAGCAAAAGTCACAGTCATTTATAACTGCATGGACTTAATGGGGGAAAAAAATTATTGGTGTTGGTTTTGGTTTTTTTTTTTGTTACTTGCGCATTTCTACTTCAGGCTATGTTCTGTGTGTTCTGACTGCCTGCTAGAGCTGCCTAACTTAAGGAATGGTCAGATAATCTCTCATAGTGATTTAAGATGTTCCCACTATCCAGCTGTTCTTGTCCCTTTCCCTGTGATGAAACAGTTGATCATACGGTTGGAGTGTGTCATACGGAGATTTTTGTGACAGTCTCTCAGTTGTTGATCTATAATGCTTAACTTATGTAACAGGCACATTGGATCTCCTCTGGTGACACTAAGTTCTTGTTCTGCCATGACCAAATAGGTTGCAGACAGGGAGTGCAGGTCATTTTCTCCTACATCCTCCCTGTGGAGGACTGTACAGATCTAGAAGTACAACAACCAGTTGCACAGCTCTTTTGACAGCAGGGACTTTGTTTTTACAACTGGAGGATACTTTTTGAGGATTGAAGACTACTAGGAAGAGATTCACTTCACCACATGGAGCAAAGTCTTCTTTTCCAGAAGCTGTCCAACCTGATGAGGAAAGCATCAAACTAAAAATAAATGGGGGAGGGAGGTGATGATGACCTATAAAAGTGCTTCCTCAAGTGAGAAATCACAGCATAGTTTGATTTGGAGAAACCCCTTCCACCAGACCAGGTTGCTCAAAGCCCTGTCCAACCTGGCCTTGGGACTCTGCCAGGGATGGGGCACCCATAGCTTCTCTGGGCAACCTGTTCCAGTTCCTCCCTACCCTCACAATGAAGAGTTTCTTCCCAATATCTAATCTAAACCTGCCTTATGTCAGTTTGAAGCTACTGCCCCTTGTCCTGTTGTGAAATTGGTGGTCTGAGTTGGCAAGAAAAGGGTGCAGGGTGAATGGCCAAGGAAACCCTCAAAACCAATCCAACAAGACAGATATGCCCCCCAGGCCAGGTATAGGCACACAA